CTATGCAATGGCTTTCCATTAATAGAGGAAAGTAGATGCTAGCCAGGAGTGGGGAGAAAATCACACATGGTGCTAAATTTTTTTTTTCTCCAGAAGTACGGCCTGGAAGGTAAATATATCTACTACCAGAGTAGTCTTGCAGAAAGATTCACCTCAACAGCAAGTACTGAGCAAGAGCTGATATACTTAATACTGGATGTTATCCCTTACTCTATGCAGATTTTGGGAGAGAGAGAAGTATTGTTTTTGAGTCAACATTGGTAATATGATGAGTTCTGTTGTCTCCAGTATATAGATATAGTGAAATAATGGGATGGTTATGGAAGAAGATAAGAAAAAAAGAAATAATAAAACTTTGAGACTAATAATGGCTGGAGATGACTTGAATGGGTAATGAAGAAAAACTTTAATATAAGTTTAACATAACAGCAAATGTACAACATTTCAACAAGGTTTTGTTGGAACTTCTGTGAAGATTGGCAAATAGCAAATAAATGAGATGAAAGCCAAAGGCAGATGAAACCACAACGTGGTGTAATGGGTCTTCCACATCCCTGCCTGCAAGATATCATTGGGCATTGACAGCTAAGTGCAAAAGAATCCATGAAATGATAAACTTGAAGGAAGGTGACAAGAAAAAGAGGAAAAAATCAGCACCCATAGAAGAATAATCTAGCTGAAACAGTTTTTTAACTCAATCATTAGAAATAAAAGGAGATAAGTAATGAGAAGAAGAATCCATGGCAAGAAAACATGATGTTGATTGCCTCAAAAGAAAGCAGTATGAGTGAGATAACATGAATTGGCCAAAGAGACCAAAGGAAGAAATCAGGGTCAGAATGGTTGTTCAGGGAGAAAAAGGAAGAGAGGGTGACTGGAGAAAACATCCAATCACTTACTGGCAGCCAGAGAGTTGAGGAGGAGGAAGTGGTTTAGTAATACATTCAATTTGTTCCTGTGGTAAACAGTGCAGGAAGCATTCGAGGCAAAAATGATGTCTTAAGCAAGCAAAAAGAAAAAGGCAGTAAAGGGAACTGATGGCCAAAAGTTTGAATTGATGAGGAAGATAACTCATGGAAATGGTTTGGAAGAGGTCCATAAGAACCAGAGACAGTAAACTGGAATTGACATGGAATACATGGAAAATCATTGACAAAAATAGAGAGAGATAAGAACAGTCATGATTTACAGCATCCATAGCCAAAGCTTCAGTACTGGTTTGCTAACCAGGAAAGTGGAAACTTGGTGGTGAGGATAGCCATAAAGGTATCAATTAGAGTATTCCCAAAGTGGGAACATATCTACTGAAGCACCAGAGGATGTAGAGACCACTCCATTTGCAAAATTTGGTCTAGGAAAGACATCTAATCTGCCACCAAGTTCAAAGCTCCTGAAACATGGCAGGCCAACAACTGAATGTAGTGGTCATTGGCACAAAATAGAAAGATAAAAGTTAGACAAGAGAGGTTCCATGTGCAAGTGCCTCCCCATTGGTGGATGATACAAGAATGATCTTATATTATAACAAAATGACCAGAAACTATCCCCAGGAAAGGTACTGGTATCCAGAACCACACCCCAGCCCTGTGAACAGATGTATATTCAGGCAAGGTGGGAGTAGAAGGATACCCAGAGTTGTGTAAGACTACTGAGCCACTACAACAGCAACAGGTAAAACGTTGGAGGAAGAGACATAAAAGAAAACAGAGATCCATGGTCATTCTCCAGCAATTGGCCAGATTGCACTGACAAAGACATACATGGTTGAGTCTGTAAGGTACAAGGGACTTGTGTGAAGTCAGAGTATCAAAATAGACAGAATCTCTTCAACAAGAAGAAGACAAGAGTAACATTGGTAACTAGAAGCTTCATGTTTCGAGGACATAATGGAGGGGTGAAAGCCCACAAGGCAAATGAAGTTTGAAATAAAAACTCCCAAATGAATCAGATATTGGGTGATGTTCAAGACAATCTTGGAGAGATTGACTTGCCAATTTAAATGAGATGAAAAAATACACGGATGCTTCTTTGGATGAAGTAAGAAGGGGCCAGTCAAATATATAGAAGTGGAAATGCAGGTCCAGTGAATGCACCCTCCATGCAAGTACCCTATGGACCCATTGAAAATAAATGTGGTTGTAGCCAATTCAAAAGGTAGAACCCAGAACTGAAAAATCTATCACAAATGAGGAAATGATGGGCAGTCAGACAAATAAGAATGTGATTAAATGTATGAAAAATATCGACCTTACTCACCCGCACTCGGGAGAGCAAGACCACCACCTGAGGGTGAAAAAAATGTCCATCTTCAATTGAGGGATGACAGAAAATTGTTCACAGATGATAGATCTATGATAGGTTGCCAATTTCCTGCCTTCTTTGCAATAACAAAAAGATGGGAATAAACTCTAAAGTGAAGCCAAAAACCTTTTCTATGTCATTTGTAACCCAGTGAGAAGATACAGCGTCTTTTGTACGCTGAATGTAAAGGATTTGAGGGTGATGGGATGAGAAGGTTCAGTGTAGAAAAAGAGGGTAAGTCTGTGAGAAAGTACCCATACTGTCCCAAGTTCGTCTACAAATGCAGTCCATTAGTGGCAAAGTGTGAGACCTAATAACCCACCAAACTAAAGCCTAGAGGTGACTCCAGAAATTAGTAAATTTTGTATCCATGATGGCCAGCCCCTAGAGTGGGAAGGTTATCAGAAAGCATGGAAAGAACAAGGAGCACATGTGCAACTCTTCAAGGATCCTAAGGCAAGAAATCAGTTGGTACCCCACCCCCCAGATTGAGTAAAATGGGAAGTCAAAATGAGAAGGGATGACTGCTGATGATCTGACTTACTCAGCAGTGGAGCTTCCAATATATAAAAAACTCCCCAAAAATCTCTCAAAAAGAAAGGGTGTCACAAAGAGGTCTTCAAGATAAGATTGAGTGTATCAAATTCCAGATAGTACTCAACCAAGCAAATACCCAAAACAAAGGAAACAAATTAACTGGTACATGCAGAACAAGAATATGAGCCCAAGGTGGAAAACTGATAAGTGTGATTGTACCCAGTGAAACTGTTGGTCTCACAATGTAGAGCCTCCAAACAAAAGTGAAGCATGGACAGATAGCAAAGAAGCTGAGCAAGACTAAGACAAAATTCAGCAAATTGAAGCACAAGAAAAATATAGGAGATCCCTATGCTGAAAGAAGGGATTGAGGCTCAAGGAAAAAATAATAACCATATGCTAAAAAATAGGAATCCAGAGATCTGCAAGGATGAATCAGCTGGGGTTCAGTATGAAGTTGAGATAAAAAGGTATTGGCACGAAATCAATATGAAAAAAAAACGGGAAAAAAAGAGGATAACCGGAAAAGGTTGAGGCTCATGCAACAAGTTAACCAAAGACTCAGCAAAAACACAATAGCAGAAAGAGAAAGAACAGCACATACATATGTAATCAAAGCTGTAAAGGATGAAGGTGGGGTTATCTATTTTTGGCAGGAAGGAAAAAAAAAACAGAAAGTAGAGGCAGGCTCAACCAAATAAAATATTTACAACAGACATGCCAGACCTACTTAAAAGTAACAAAATAACAGTAAATGGTTTTGTGGATGAACTATAGATTCACCATCCATGTATCTGACACGTCTTGAGGTCATGACACTCCACAACAGGAGTCATCTTCTACTGTTTCAGTAGTGAGTTGAAGCCGTCTGGTAGTCAATGATGTTTCTGCCATAGTGCGCCAGTTGGTTAGTTCTGTTCTGAAATTCAGATCCAAGATTTCCTGCTTTAGGCTTAGGTCACTGACAGAATGAGAAATATTTGGATTAATCTATGAAACCTGAACACTGGGTGAATTAAGTTGGGGTATGAGTATTAAAGAAACCATTTCATATTCTGAAGGAAATATGTCTTAAATCTCATAATTTGATTGAGAAAAGAAACCAGCTTAATGTAAGAAACATTAATAATTCATATTCTAACTGAAATTAGTAAAACATTGTATCTTTCTTTCTTGAAATCAAGAAAATATTGGTAAGAAAAAAAGAAACTACAAATGCCAATTAGAAGTTTCAAGTAATAAGCATAATAAATCTGTAACTAGCAATGAAAAAAAGACTGATAAATTACTAGCAGTACTAATGAAAGAAGGAGCCTTTGTTATACACTGTGCTCAAAGACAATAGAGCACATTGATGATGTATCACCCTCCTATTGGTGGGGAGCTATAGTCTAATACTGATTGCAATACAGACTGCCATTGTACACATTAACATGGTAGGTGTGGTATCTTTGTTCAAGGGTTACTGGTTGTATAAAAATCTTTTTGGTAGTGATAAAAGGTAATAGTTCTCAGTTCTGTGGAAAGGTGAGTAGTATTTTTAAATCTGAAATTCTTAAGTCAAACTATCTTCATAATCCAAAATTATACTTCAGACACTAAAATTACTTATACATTAAAAAAAAAAACTTAGTGTCAAAACTACAAAACTGATGCATCATATAACCCTTACATGTCATGAATAAGTGATCTGTTAACATCAAAAAGTGAATTAATTCTTGTAAAATGTGCACAACTATATCTTAAATGCAAAACCTATACTGGTAAAAAGTAGTAATCACAAGGACAAATACTCCTCATCCAAACACAGAATCATTACAAGTTAGCATTTAATATTTCATATATGTCATACATTAATACTTCACTTTTGTCTCTCCTGTTCTTCTAACACATTTCCCAACTATGTCATATCTTCTTTCTTTGACCCTGTTCTAAATAAGAACTATTATATCTGAAACTCCAAGCTACAGGTACCAAACAACTTATGACACAGATCTATGTTTTGGGCCACTACTACTGCCAGTTTCTTTTCCACACACTTAACATGTTTTCTCCGTTACTAAAAACGTTTTATGAGAGGTAATCTGTGAAAATTACCTATAAACAGACATTATAGCTACACACACTTCACCTTCCTATGCATGTTTTTCTACCACATTCACAGATCTAGATTTTCCCTAGTGTGTGTCTTTTCATGTTTTCGTAAGGTATGTTTTCTCAAGCTATTAGTACTTATAAATTCTTTGCCACATATTACACAACTGTACGGTTTTTCCCCAGTGTGTGTTCTTCCATGATCTTTCAAGTTACTACTCCTTTGAAATTTCTTGCCACACACTACACAACTGTATGGTCTCTCCATAGTGTGTACACTATCATGTTTTTTCAGTTCACTTTTACTCACAAAATCTTTGCCACACACTGAACAAATATACGGTTTCTCCCCTGTGTGTATTCTCTGGTGTATTTTTAGGTTACTACTTATTCGAAATCCTTTTCCACAGATTCCACAACTGTACGGTTTCTCTCCAGTATGGACTCTCTGATGAATTTTTAGGTCACCACTTCTTCCAAATTTTTTACCACACACTACACAGTTGTATGGTTTCTCACCAGTGTGTATCCTTCCATGCTTCTTCAATTCAGTATTTCTTCCAAATTTTTTGCCACACACTATGCAACTGTATGGTTTCTCCCCAGTGTGTAATTTTTGATGTATTTTTAAATTACTATTGTTTCCAAATTCTTTTCCACAGATTTCACAACTGTATGGTTTCTCCCCAGTATGAACTCTCTGATGTATTTTTAGGTCACCACTTCTTCCAAACCTTTTACCACACACTACACAACTATAGGGTTTCTCACCAGTGTGTATCCTCTCATGTTTTTTCAGTTCACTATTTGTAACAAATTCTTTGCCACACACTACACAGACATATGGTTTCTCCCCAGTGTGTATCCTCTGATGTATTTTTAGGCTAGAACTTCTTCCAAATCCTTTTCCACAGATTACACAACTGTATGGCTTTTCCCCAGTGTGCAATTTTTCATGTATTTTTAGATTACTATTATTTCCAAATTCTTTTCCACATATTCCGCAGCAGAATGGTTTCTCTCCAGTGTGTGTTCTCTGATGAATTTTTAGGTCACCTATTCTTCCACATTTTTTGCCACATACTCTACAAAAGTATGATTTTTCACCAGTGTGTATCCTATCATGCTTTTTCAGTTCACTACTTGTTTCAAATTTTTTGCCACACACTACACAACTATATGGTTTCTCCCTAGTGTGTATTCTCTGATGTATTTTCAGGTTACCATTTAATCCAAATTCTTTTCCACAGATTTGACAACTGTATGGTTTCTCCCCAGTATGAACTCTCTGATGTATTGTTAAATCACCACTTCTTCCAAATTGTTTGCCACACACTACACAACTATAGGGTTTCTCACCAGTGTGTATCCTCTCATGCCTTTTTAGTTCACTATTTGTTCCAAATTCTTTTCTACAGGCTCCACAACTGTATGTTTTTTCACAGTGTAGGGTATCTCCTCCTGCTTTAGAATATTTACTGTTGAAGGATTTTTTCCAGTTACATCACTACTGTTTGGCTTCTCAGACTTCCTGATTTTTGAATGAGAATCTTCTTGTGATAAATCATGACAACCATGAAACTGATTTCCTCCACAGTTGTTCATATCCATCTTTACATCTAAAAATCAAATAATGAAAGTAATAAGTAAAATAATAAGAAACATTTCTCTTGAATATAATTAAATTTGAAAACATAAAATGAATAAATATATATACAATTGAAATCTTTGTTATCCAAAGTATATAAAATGCTAAGAGGGAAATGTGACCAAGGGATGAAAAACACAGGTTTTATGTTTGTTAATTCTACATTTTTGTCTTCTTTACTGTTTTGAAATGATTCTTTTGGAATTTTGTTTTAATCAAAAAAGAAAGAAAATTCCTCATGTAATGACTTTTAACAATAGTTTTATAAAAACTAGAATTCTACAAGAAAAAATAACTCCTAAGAAGTACAGGTAGCTTTCCATTTTGTTAATACAATATCTTATATAACAAGTTTTGGTTCTTTAGATTTGAAGAAAACTCATGTTTATACAGTTAGATTAGTGCTACTATTACACACATGTAAAGCTGTAGCCTCTATATATCACCCAACAACCACTGAACGACACTGCTGTCAATATCCATACACAACACTGCAATGAGCAATGTTCTCTATATGCAGTAACAGGATATGCCTAAATTTGAAAATAACAAAGAACAAAATCAACTTAATGGTTTCCTCAACCATGTATTATGTGAAAACTGCACATATTTATAACACAAAAATTCAGAATAGATATTATAAAACTATGAAAACAAAAATCCAGAGTATATTCATACACAATACTTTCTTGTCTTTCCTATCTCAAAGCTTGTCCCAAAAGGATAATTAGTCTTAATCTCACAACCAATAAACTTTAAATTTTGACTTGTGAAGAATTAGGAGAACCCTTTCTGGCTTCCAGACACAACTTATAGATGTCTGTTAGATATACATGACTGTTTCCATTTGAGTTTAATTTGAGTGTTATGACTTAGACAATTTATATATATATAGCGCAAGTTTTAAACTTAGTTATTTTTAGCAGTGACAGTTTATTGCAAGTTTGTTTATGTACTTGTTTATTATTCATATGCTGTGTAGTTCAATAGTTATGAATTGGTGATTGTTATATCATTATATCATGTTAATAGAACCTTCTGAGTTTTTCTCATTGCTATAATTGAGTATTTTTGCATCATAATATCTAGTAGTGTGTCCAATGTTCTAGACCTCTGCCGAGATTAAAGTATGCATCAAAAATGTAGTTTGATACACAAATCTAGACTGCATGATTGAGAATTTAACCATAAAGAGTGTATTGCACCAATTTTTTAAGAGAAATTATCACTGATTGTATTATAATAACAGAGTAGAGTAAATATAATTTGTCTTGTCAATTGTGTTCTAAAGTAACTGAACTTTGTGTGGACTTTGACAAGAAAACAGAATTATTTAAAGTCTGGATACAACTTTTATATACAACAGTATATACGTCTGACTTGTTTTAACTCTCTTTCTCGCTATGTATATAGCAACAAAGCCATTTTTTAAGAGAAATTATCACTGATTGTATTATAATAACAGAGTAGAGTAAATATAATTTGTCTTGTCAATTGTGTTCTAAAGTAACTGAACTTTGTGTGGACTTTGACAAGAAAACAGAATTATTTAAAGTCTGGATACAACTTTTAAAAACAACAGTATATACGTCTGACTTGTTTTAACTCTCTTTCTCGCTATGCATATAGCAACAAAGCCATTTTCAAACCCCATTAACTCCCTTCTATGTATCTTACTGAGTTACATTAAAAATTTAATTAAACCAATTTACTTTAAATGTACTTTAATGAAACTATTATTAACAAGTATGTTATAGTTTAAAGTTTTATAATATATAAGTTTTATTCCTTTATTTTAAAAAAAAATCTAAAACAGCAATTAAAACCACAGTTTTTTTGCTCTCTTGTGATTCGCTTTCAGTTACAATTCTCAACTTTTAAGAGATCTTATACAAGAAATTGCGAGTAGCTAATACAGACTATTAGTTCAGACAGTCAAGGTACACTAAACAAATTTATTTTAATACCATCTGGATACCTTCCCAGAATTTCTCCAAAAAATAAAACATTGTAAATTTTTACTAAGTTTAAGGACAGCAATACTCACTTGCAAAGTTAAATCTGTGTTGCTAAGCAACAGTTTGAAGTTGAATGGCATACATATAATCAATAGAAAGAGCAGATTTCCCACTATTTACTTAATAGCCAAGGAAACATTATTAGTGTATGAATTTATACTACCAGGTAGAAAAGGAACTTAGTCCATTGTTCTCTTGGCAAGTGTTTCTCGCCTTATATGTATTAGTTTGCAAGACAGATTGAATTTAGGTTTTAAGTATATATCTTAATTAATTATGTATTATTTGTGTTTTAAAATGTATATTTGGAAGGTTTAATGATTTTTATTCATTTAACTTGGTGTAGCTTGGATTGTGAAAATGTATAAGCAAGATGGCATCATTCGTATGCATGAGAATCACCCTATAATAATAATAGAGCCCTGAATGTACCAGTTGACGTACCAGCATAAATAATAAGAGACAAAGAATTGGAAAGTAAAGTTAAAAATAAACTATAAGTGAAAAGATAAAGGAAATGAAATTAAACCTTAAAAAAAAAACTTCTATGAAGGGCTATGAGGTATGTGCATATTTCCATTTCTAAACTTTAAACATTTCATAGCACTGTGTGTTGATGATAATAACTAGAGTTAGTGATATAGTAGAGGAAATGGAAAATAAAATATAAACATTTACCTTAAAAAACTTTTGATATTCATTTAGGAGGTTCTAGTGATTATGCAGATGAAATGTGAAAACTGTAAGATAACAAACAGTATTTTATACTCAAAAAGAAAATCACCTAGCATATGAACTATTCAGAGTCCGAGTGCAAATAACTACATTAAATAACGAATGTTTTATTAGAAATGGTAGAAAAATCAAAAATTAATATTTTTCTGAAACTACATACTTTTAGGAATATTCATGTCAAATTTCAAACAATTTCATACACTAGTTTCATTTTTGTAATGAACTTTCATGACAGTTACGTACCCTACTTACAATGCAATATATTAACCCTATGAGGGTTAATATATTATTTTAAAACAAGTGGACTGCATGCTGTTTGTTTATTGATGAAATTTATTGCCAAAAAGTCACAGACAATTACTGTAATGGATCTGGCCCATAAATAAAAACCTGATAATGTCACAACTCTTAAACAAAGATACAACAATGCAAGTAAATCCATTAATGATAATATACCACAAAATACATAAATACTTAAATAAATTTTTTAACCAGGATATACATCTAAGTACATACCAAAAAATCCTTTAACAGTGAAACTATACATTATCACAAACTATTCACCACAGAAAAATATGTGACATACTCAACAATCTTTTATTTATTATATTATACTACATTAGCATCGGAAAATAAAAAAAAACTTTACACAATGATCCAGGTACACACAAAACTTTAACACAGAACTGCATCATAACTTTGGATAACTTAAAAATTCAACACAATTCATTAATCCACTCAAAAGTGACTACAATTCAAAAATTAGCAAAGCATTTTTGCATTAGAATATTTCAACAGACAACAAAACTTCTAATTCTTTATTGTCAAATTAGCAACAAAAAACCATATAAAAGACAAAAATGAAAATATATCTATATATTTACAACTCCAGCAAAAGAAAATTATGTATTAACAAAATATGCATATACATAAACAAAAAACAATACACTACATATGTCCTTACATAGGGCTAAAGTAGGGGCAAGATTGTCCACCATGTTGCTGGACCACCTTGCTCCTACTTTAGCATTTCCAGCAGATTCCTAAGTGCAGGAGTTGTGCTTCAGTTTGCTGCCCTCATAAGTTTGATGGCTTCTTGAACCTTTGCCTGGGCTGCCAAAGTCAGCATACAACTAGCAGACTTCTCATAACACATAAGAGATATGTGGGACAGGGATATGTTTACGGACTTACAAAGTTAAATTCTGGGGTTTGTTTTCCCGCGGTGGGCACATGGGCCTGGAGTGGTGGTTATCATTGCTTCCATGGCAGTAAGTTTCAAATTACAATCAACAGACATCTTTCTTCTCTGTCCCCAGCATCGAGAAAACCTTTTGAGGTGACTTCAAATCTGGAAGGGATTTTTTTTGCTTGGGGATATGGTCCCAATGGAAGTGAGCTCGCATCTGATGGCATTGGTGTCTAGTACTGAAGTAAATAAGTAGGGGTTCCCCACGACCAGACAACCATAATTCCTTTTTGTTTTTGGTGATTCATGATTGTACCCTTACCATCTTGACATCTGATGTGGAAGTGGTCATTGGTTGCACAGCTGGTAGCTGCACTAACTTCTTTACCATCTCAGTAAGCACCTATGCATTAGCAATGCATCTTCATCTGTTGGTCCTACATGATGGAAAGTCAAGGTCATGACAGATGCTGTCCTTGGTTCACTGGTAAAATCCAGCTCCTTGCCAAACAGAAAGTCCTTTTTGCTGTATTGACCCTCTCCTGCCAGACCTTCAGAGATAGCCAAATTGGTTCAGAACTTGACCTTAAATATCCAAGGTATGTATTTAAAAAAAAGTCAGGTTGGTGAAATCTAATTTGTTAAAAGGTCAACCATGTGTATAGGTTGAAAAAGGGTTTGTAATTAAGTGGTTACAATTTTAACCTCCCCTACAACTTCCTTTAGAGGTTAATTAACAAGTACACTATGCAACTATTGTGAAACTGGATCCTACATATATACACACACTGATGTAAATTAGGTAAGAACTAGCCCTCGCTTTCACTTCTGGCTTATAGTATCCTCCAGCACTTACATCCTCTTTTCCTAAAATCTTCTTTTACTTGGAGTTTAATACTAGCAGTGGTGAAAATTATAAAGTTTCACTACTTCAGTGCTACTTTCTAAGTTCCCCTAATACACTTAAAGCCTGCATTTTCATGCATCTTAAATTACTCCTTGTACTAAAACAATGTTTAGAAAATATTCAGAAAACTGCATGCTTTTCTATGTATTCCAATGTGAATCCCTGAAAATATTCCATCACAATACTGGGTGCACTAAGCTTAGATTCTGTATTATACTTAAGCTACTGTTTCTGAAGTTCATGTACACAGCGTGGTCACAAGTAAATAGACACCACCTTTTCAGAAAAAATAAATTTTTCAGTCATATTCACATGATTTGATCTATTTATAATTTAATTAATATCTATTACATCTTCCTTTCGCTTGGTGGAGTTTGTTGATCCTTTGGGGCATCGTGAGAATCATCTCGTCAATTTTAGATTGGGGGATTTTTGCCCACTCTTGCTTCAAAACTTCGAGTAGATCGCTTTTCGAAGTTGGTTTTTGGTTGTTTCTTGACTTGCCGGTCGAGTATGGCCCAGAGGTTTTCGATGGGGTTCGTGTCAAGAGATTGGCTCGGCCAGGGCAACTTCT